TTATTTATTAATGTATACAGTGCTCTGTCTGCCTGTATGTCTGCAGGCCAGAAGAAGGCACCAGATCTCATTACAGATGGTTGTGAGCCACCATGTGGTGCCTGGGAATTGAACTCAGGACCTCTGGAAGAGCAGTCAGTGCTCTTAACCTCTGAGCCATCTCTCCAGCCCCCTTTGTCACTATTGACTGTCTTTATAATCTGTATGCCCATCAACGTAGATTGAGTTATATTAACACCGACCCTTAGGTACTTACTGGTCTGTTTATATGTAGTGGTGTCATTTTGGAGGTCTTTAGCACAGCAGTGCACTCCATCAATGCCAGTGTTTAGGAGGCAAAGGCAAGAGTGTCTCTGAGAGTGCTAGGCTTTGTCCACATAGTGAGTTCCAGGCCAGCCAGGTATAGACCCTTTCTCAAAGACCAAAACCCAAACCCAAACATCACAACACAGAGGACGGCACATTGCTGGCTCCTCAGTGCATCTAAAATGTTGTTTGAATTACACTGCAGTTCAGTAGGTGTGCAACAGCAGTACAGCTAATAAAACCCCCCCAGGAAAGACTGTATTACTAAAAATGCTAACAGAAACACAAGAGTGCCTTTCTGTTTTGGGGGATGTTTGGTTTCTTGAGACAAGGTTTCACTGTATGCCCCTGGCTGTCCTGGAACTCACTTTGTAGACCAGGTGGCTTTGAACTCAGAGATCCTCCTGACTCTGCCTCCTGAGTTCTGGGACTAAAGGTGTGAGCCACCACCGCCCTGCTAAGAGAGCTGTTTCTTGAAATGAGGCCAGATTCTGCACCACCCACAATTCCGCTGGAGCATGCCATGTGGTGTAACAGCATTTTACCCACAATAGAAAGTCCTTCAACTCTGGAGTCAAGGCTGAGCCCCTGCTGCTGCTGTCGACAGCAGATTCCATCACAAGACTCCCTTCTTTCATCCTTAAGTGGCCATCAGTGACCTCAGGCTCCTCTCCTTCTGTCTCCTTGCCCCGCTAGATCTGTGGTGATGCCCTCTGCTCATGTCTTGAGCCCCTTGGTTACTGCTATCCTGACTGCCACCTGCAAACCACATCCTTATAATGACATCCAGAAGAGTGAATCTGTCCCGGTTTTCAGCTGTCATTACCGCAGATAAATTGGAGAAATCACTAAGACATGGAGGGCAAAGCAGTACCGCTGGATCCTGGTGTACAGGACTGTCAGTACGCACAAGAAATGAATGAAAGGAAAACCTGACTGTTGAGTACCTTCGCTAGAATGAGCAGGTGCATTCACATTGATTGACGGCACACACTTATCCTGAGTGGTAGGTCTATTGCTGAGCTTAACAAGCTGTGCTATATAACAGATGCACTGTGGCTAGGCCTCGTTCCTTTTATTCGTTACAAAAAGGCCCTTGGGATTTTAGTGCAATAGGTTTTTAATGAGCAATGGGCTCAACCTGAAGTCACCAGCCATGCTAGTCCTAACAGGAGTTAGTCTGTCTCTTGAAGACGTTGCTGACTTTTCTTCTGTAATTGAACACTAAGGCTATTTCTTTTCCTTTCTTTCTTTCTTCCTTTTTTTTTTTTACATTTTTTTATTATTTTATTTTTTTCTATTATCAGCTTGATACAGTACAAATTCTTATCCTAATAGTGAAATGTTTCACTGAAGCTTGCTCAGTGACTAAGTCAAACCAAAACGTAATTATTATATGCCAGTCATCCTAGGGCTCTTTCTTTATACTAATGTTTTGCCTGTATATCTACGTATGACGCCCATGGAGGCCCTGAGACTGGCGTAACAGTCAGTTGTGAGCTGCCATGTGGGTGCTGGGAATTGAACCCTGCTCCTCTGGAAGATCAGCCAGTGCTCTTGACTACTGAGCCATCTCTCCAGTCCCTAAGGCTATTTTGTGTACATTAATCAATCAATCAATCAATCAAATGACATGGTTGGCTGGGCATGGTGGTACGTGCCCGTCCCAGCACTTGGGAGGTGGAGGTGGGAAGATTAGCACTTCAGAACCATCCATGGCTACATGAAACCTCTTCTTAAACCATGTACTGTGTGAACTGCCCTCCTGATAGTTCTCCAGATCCCTTGCTGTGTACAGCAGCCCTTCTGCCTCGCCTCACACGTCAACTCTGGAGCTGGCTGTTTGCGTGTGACTTCACAAACTCTGTACTAGCAGCATACCTTTCTTCTTGGAATTAAGGGAGTCAGGGCCTGGTTTGCACTGGGCTTTGGCTTGGTATGGCTGGGCTGGAACTTGACACAACGATGAGGTTACTGTGCTTCCTTTCCATTTGTGTTCAATGGAATTAGCCGTTTTAATTCTCAAGAACTTTGCACTTCAAACATGGCTGCTTGGAGTAAACCATGTGGGGCCTGTCTTGGTTTCCAATACGCCTTTATCACCAACTGTAAACATTTTTAGCTGTTGGCTTAAAGTGAAACATGTGACGAGTCCTTTCACTGTAGACTATTACCTGTCTTAATATCAATACTGTTTTTTAGGGAATAGTGAGGCCCAGGGAGAATTCTCAGATGGGCAATAGTTGGCCTGTTGGTGGGGCTGTCAGAACACAGGCAAGGCTGGTCACCCACGTCTGTTATAGCACATGGGCATAGTTTGTGGTACCCTAAAATAATTACAATATCAATACTAAAGATGAGAGATACCACACAGATAATAAAAAATGAAGTCTGATAGTATGGTGGCTTGAATACTTAATTCCCAGTTGGTGGGACTGTTAGGGAAGGATTAGGAGGGGTGAAGTTGGAGGTAGGTTCAAAAGACTTCTCATTCTCACCATCCCACTTCCCATCTACTTCCTGCGGGTGGATCAGGATGTGAGCTCTCACAGGACGGTGGTAGCGCAGGCCTTTAATCCCAGCCCTCGGGAGGCAGAGGCAGGCAGATCTCTGTGAGTTTGAGGCCAGTCTGGTCTACAGAGTGAGTTCCAGGACAGCCAGGACTATACAGAGAGACCTTATTTTTAAAAGCTGAAAAGATAGGTGTTGTCTTCATTCTGCCATCATAGATGCTAACCCTGTGGAACCGTAACCCAATTAAATCCTTTCTTTTATAATGCCTTGATCGTTGTCTTATCACTAATAGGAAATAAACTAACAGAAGTATTCTTATGAGAACTACCAAAATGTGATAGGCAGAAGAGGAAAGCAGCACGATGCTTGTCTTTAATGGAAGGCTGCACAAAAGGGGGTGGGATGGGAGCAAATCACGTGTATGAAGTGCCCTGGAGTATGTGACACCTGCAATATAACCACTTATAAAGCAGAGGGTAAGCTCAGCATCACAAAGAGAATTTTGTTAGGAGTCATGAATGAATGAATGATTATATGGGCTTTCTTTTTCTATTATCCAATGAAGACAAGGTAAAAAAAAATCACACAATGGACTTCAAATGAAATCAGTTAAGGATTTTTGAAGGCAAGTTGGTATTGTCTCCATGACTAGTGCTGTGGGATGGTCTGTATGTCAAATGTGTTGCTGATTGGTCAATGAATAAATCACTGATTGGCAGTGGCCAGGCAGGAAGTATAGGCGGGACTAACAGAGAGGAGAATTGAGAGAACAGGAAGCTGGGTGAGAGAGACACTGCCAGCCGCCATCAGGACAAGGAAGATGTAAAGTACAGGTAAGCCACAAGTCATGTGGCAAGGTATAGATTAATAGAAATGGATTAATTTAAGCTGTAAGAACAGTTAGCAAGAAGCCTGCCACGGCCATACAGTTTGTAACCAATATAAGTCTCTGTGTTTACTTGGTTGGGTCTGAGAGACTGTGGGACTGGCGGGTGACAGAGATTTGTCCTGACTGTGGGCCAGGCAGGAAAACTCTAGCTACAGACAGTGTACTAAAAACAGGCTGGCTGGAATTTTACTGCTTAAGGAAAATCACTTAAGTTAATTTTTTATTTCTGTAAGCTGTGCTCCAGTATTTGGCAAAGCTGAACACAGTAATGGTTGGGAAATGTAAAGACTAGCCTGCATCTATCTGTGGTTAAACGCACACTCCTGTACTGTTTTCCCTACATGCCGCTGAATGTAGAGCTGAGAAGGTCTGCACTCGATGGAGAGAATGTCTGAGCAGTCAGCATACTCAAGAAAACTTGCTTGGCTGCCCTACAGTTCTTGGAGAAGTAGCTATTGTGGACAGGAGGGTATGTTTGTGGTAGCTACTACTACAACTCATTAAGTTCATTTTTTAGCTTCTTCTGAACTTGAGACTCTTAGAAATAGACTGGATGTAACATTTACTAAGCCTTGGCACGTTACTGGCCCACATGTTGTGGCTAAGACACCTCCTGGACTGCCCTCCTTACGGCCACTACCAATTTCCACCTGCTTTGCTAAAAGAACTCCTATTCTACTCTGTAGAAAAAAATGCGGAGACCCAGGGATGACTTTTTCTTACAATTAAGACTAGACAAATGGGACATTTGGCGTTAATCTGGGGCCAACTGTTTTCTTGTCACCTTAACCAAGACCTGTTGTACTGTCAATGTCATCTGTTACTAAAATGGAATGAGTGAGCCATGCATGGTGTTGGTCCAGAATAATCTGGAACTTACTGACCTCTGTGGAGCCTCAGTTCTGTGACCTGTAAAATTGGGGTAAATTTCAATCAAAGAAGAGTGGGGCAGAGTGGGACAAGGTTTAGGGCTCAGTAAGCTGGGATTTCCTGTCTAATGAAAATGAAAACACATCTCTGCCAAACCACTCTCCAACTCCGGTACCTGAAGCTCTGTTATCTGATGGCTTCTACACCATTGTAGTTTAATGCTCAAACAAAATTTATGAAAGTAATTTCCTCTTTAGAATCAATTCTGTTTGTTTATTTATTTATCCTGGTGTGACTGGACTCCGGATGATCTGGGAATTGAACCTGGTTCCTCTGAAACATCAGTCAGTGTTCTTAACTGCTGAGCAACCTCCCGCCTTAGAATCAATTCTGTTAGAGACAAAGAAACACATTTTGCATAGACAGTTGTGAAAAGTCCTTTACTGTGAAAATTCCTTTACTGCCTTTGTGTCCACATGATTGTTTAAAAAGCAAACAGTACTAATGGCCCCTTTGGTAAGAAGTCCCCAAACCCAAGGATCACATCCTTTGGACGGGCTTTATTCCCAGGATATCGAACCCCTTGGCCATGACAGCAGCCACTGCTTCGCACAGGAGCATTCGCCACATGTTCACCTTCAACACTTTCCCTGGAAGAGAAAAAGACATTAACTTGTTCATCAGCTTGAGAATCATTAAATGACTGGTTATTTTTCCTGAAAAGTGAGCAGCCCACCTTCTCCTTCAATACAAGGACAGCACATTTCAACAGTGTGCTTTCCTAAGCCCCCACGTGAAGTAATAACACCCACCCCATGGACCGATGCTGTTCCCAGGCTTGCCCTGTTAACATACAGCCATCAGTGATAGTGGGTGTTTCCAACGCCAACACCACTTAGACCCATTTTCTGCTTTGATCGGCCACATTTCAAACTGTTACATATGCCACAGCTTGCTGTGAAATTTCCTAGTTTCTATGCAAATGTCCTGGTGGCACCTCTTCCCCAAGATGGACAGTGGATGAGACACTTACCCGTCTGTCGATCTTTCTCCACACAGTAGCAGCTATCGTAAAACTCTGTGAAAGTAGTTGCCAGCTCGTATATATAATCACAGAGAGTGTGGAGAAATAAGTCATCTAAAATCTTCTGTAAAATCTCAGGGAATCGTAAAATGCACCGGCCGAGTTTCCATTCCTTCTCATGGTCCAAGACAATCTTGGTTTCCCGAGCAGCTTTCTGAAGCATCTCTTCATCAATACTGGCCAGACGTGCGATAGACCTGAAAGAGCAGGTAACTGCTGGTCAGGCACAGGCTCTTTTCACACACAAGCACGTGATCCAGTATGACGAGTGTAAGTTAGAAACACCAGCAATTAAAACAGACTCTTGGCCCCAGTGCGGTTGACCTGTCCTGTGCACTTGAGTGACAGAGGATGAGAACCTAGCCTTGGACACACAGAATCAAGACCCTGGCTCAAAAGCTGAAAAGAGATTCTTACCCTGCCTTACAGTAAAGACACCCATCACTTGATTCCAAACCAAGAGTGTCTGAGCAGTCACCTGATTCTAGTGAAGGCATACAGTAAGTAAGCGGCTGTGTTTCCTCTGTCATCCAGCATCTTGTCAAAGGAGAAGATGTAGTCGTTCAGCCGGTTATGGGACAGGTCGGCATATTTGATACAGCCATATGCAATGGATGTCTGAGCAGCTGTCAACTCCTCTTCAGTCAGGACCTTTGGGAAGACAAACACTTCAGAGCTTGCCTGCTCACTACTCTTGCCTCACAGGTAGAAGATGAGTCCGAAGCTTCTACAGAGTTCCTATCTTTTTTAGTTTTTCAAGACAGGGTCTCTGTGTAGCTCTGGCCCGGCTGCCTCTGCCTCCCGAGTGCTGGGATTAAAGGCGTGCGCCACCACTGCCCGGCTGACACAGCCACTGCTCCTGCTCCTAGCAAGTGACCCTAATCCACTGGTTCACCCCCTGCAAAAGATTACTCATAATAATTCATACAACTCCATATGCACATTCTGAGCTTGCTCAATAGATAATTTTAGACTTAAAATTAAAGCAGGAAACAATTTTGTGAGTAAATTCAGTCATTTGGAGTTCTGTTATTGGAGCAGGGGCTGGAGACAGCAGCATTCTGGCTTGGTGTGAGACCCTAGAGTCCAACCCTACTACTGGGAGTTGGCTGGTAAGAGAAACTTTTTAAAACCTAGCCAGTACAGGGACTGCTATACCCAACAATTTAGATTTTAAAGCTTTAGTCATCTCAATTTTACAAACTGGTGAATTTGTTAAAGTATGTTTTTCTATCTTGTGACAATCTTTAAAATAACCGATTGACATGTAATACCTAAAAATAAATTAGGTAATATGCAAATTTGATAACTGACCAAAAAGTAATTTAAAGGCTAAGAAAGCATTACAAATTTAGGGCCAGCCCAGCTGACATAGCAAGTCAAAAACAAGATAGCACACCAAATTGTAACAATAAGCCCCAACCAAAAAAAAAAAATCTGTACAATTCAGGGTCTCAAGTAACTTAGGCTCACCCCAGAGTCCTCTGACCTTGAACTCCTGATCCTGCTGCCTCCAGCGACTAAATGCTGGGACTGCAGGAACGTGCCATTTGTTAGTGGGGCTCACACCCAGGGCTTCACTCACGCTAGACAAGCAATCTATCGACAGAACCGCTTCCCACGAGTTTTCTGTAAACACTGTTTCTAAGGAAGGAATAAAAACCAGGGGGAAAGGAGCGAGTGTGAGGAAGGATTTCCTGTGGTAGAAAAAAATTACCCATGGTTTGACAATGGAGAAAGAAACAGGGTGAAACTAAAAGCTTGAGCAAGCTACAAAGAATCTGAACGATTTGGACAAGGCATAGGAAGGATGTCTGTTCCTGGTCGCATTTTTGAGATAGGGTCTTGTTAGTCCTGGTTGGCTGGAACTCTATATGCCAACCAGACTGGTTCTGAATTCTGCAATCCTCCTGCCTCAGACAATTACAGGCAATGTGCCACCATAACTGACTTTAAAGGATTGAGTCTAAGAAAAATCTATGATCAAGAAAGTTAGAATAACTGAAATGCTGGTAATTTTTATGTAAGACCAAAATATTAATACGCCGATGTTATAACAGAATCTTAATTCTGCTTAAATCAAGGAGCCTTTCTTCAAATATTGGTCTTTTTCAATTCTAAAAATGTTTTCTATTTTGAGACAGGGTCATCCTATGTAGCTCAGGACAGCCTTGAAGTCAAGGTCCTCCTGCCTCAGGCTTCTTAGTGTTACAGGTACAGGCTGCCATGCCCAGCTTGAAATGTTCTTGACCTCTGCTGCATAATCACAAGCTGGAATCCAGGTTACTCAAATGGCCCTCCTTCTCATAAGGAAAGTGCCTATTGAATTATATGCCTTTATTTGGTTTTAATTACTTAGGAACAGACTTCAAAGATTTAGAAAGCAAAATGTTTTAAAACTAAAATCTTCCAATTGCTTCTAACTCTGCCTAACATGACTATTACTTCTCAATGGTTGGTCTATGATCAGATTTTTTTTTTTTGTTTTTCGAGACAGGGTTTCTCTGTGTAGTTTTGCGCCTTTCCTGGAACTTGCTTTGTAGACCAGGCTGACCTCAAACTCACAGAGATCCGCCTGCCTCTGCCTCCCGAGTGCTGGGATTAAAGGCATGCGGCGCTGCTGCTGCCGCCGCAGCCACCACCACCGCCCGGCTGAAACCGTTTTTTTTTTTTTAGCTTTGCGCCTTTCCTGGATCTCACTCTGTAGACCAGGCTGGCCTCCACTGACAAAGATCTGCCTGGCTCTGCCTCCCAGTGTTGGGATTAAAGGCGTGTGCAGCCACCGCAGGGCAATCTTTTATGATCAGATTTTGGTCAAGTATTTTAAACCTTTTATATGGCAGGCTTCTTCATATGGACCTTCATCTCATACAGGTAAGAGCCTAATGAAGTTGATACACTGAATATGAGAAGTACTGACAAGGGAAGGGAAAAATGTTCTGTTTTGCATGAGACAGGATGGCCTGGAGCTCAGAGATCCATCTGCCTTTGTCCTTAAGTGCCAGGGTAAAGGCTTAACACTTATATAAATATTGACATAAATACTCCTAAGAGTATTTTGATGTGTCTTTAAGTTTTATAAAATAATAGAATATCCTTGTTCATTGCTGAATTCTCATCAAAATTTGAACCAAGTCTTCAAGACTATATTTCTGATAATTTCTCAGTGGAAGTAAACTTGCACACCTTACTCTCTACAGTTAATAGCAATTTGGTCTATTCTCCCCAGATTAAAAACTCATGGGAGCTGGGTGGTGGCGGTACATGCCTTTAATCGTAGCACTTGGGAGGCAGAGCCAGGCGGATCTCTGAGTTTGAGGCCAGCCTGGTCCGCAGAGCGAGATCCAGGACAGGCACCAAAACTACACAGAGAAACCCTGTCTTGAAAAACCAAAAAAAAAAAAAAAAAACCCAAACCAAACCAAAATACCCAAACCCAAATCCCATGGGAATGCAGTTCAATTGGTGCTTAGCTAGTATGCACAGGGCCCTGGATTTTATCACTAGCACTGTATAAAGTGGAAGTGGTGGCACATGAGCACCTAGGACCCAGAGGCTTGAGAATCAGGAGTTTGCAGCCAGCCTAGGTCACGTACAAGACTGTCTCAACAGTTTTTGTTATGGTCTTAACTATGTAAATTAGACTGTGCTCTTCTGCCTCCTGAGCAAGTGCTGGGCATTACAGGCCTATGCTACCATGTCCAGCATGGACGCATTGCTAAAAATGGTAATACTACTGTTTACATATTGACCAAGATCCAATTTTCTTGAACAGGCTCTACGCTCACACACATTGGGAAGGATGGTCAGCCTGAGTTCATAGCCAGCTTGGGCTACAGAGTAGGCATCTGCTTCAGAAGCCAAACTATGCATGGAATGCCTGGCTTCAAGAATCCCTGCTTTCCAGTGACATTAGCTACAGGTCTGGCTTTCCATCTTCAAGAATGACTACACAGTGGCTACTGTCCTTTTCTGTTATACTACTTGAACAATCAAGCTAGTATAACTCAAATATAATTCATTTTACAAATTGGTTTTTCTCAAGAAAAACCACTGCTGTGTATGATGGGTCATAGCTGTAACCTTAAGAGTTCAAGGCCAGACTAGGTTACAGTGAAACCCTATCTCACCTCCCCACCACCAAGCAAAACCCTGAAATACACTATGTGTGTGGAGAAGTGTTTCACCATTGCCCAGATGGTTCTGAACTTCTACACCCATGTGACTAATACTTCAGCCTCCTGAGCATTGGTATTATAGGTGTATATACCACATCTGGCTTGGCTTACTGTTTAATCTATCTGTATATCCTAAATTCTTCTGTGTACCTCCAATCCAAAGTCTCACAGAATCAGTAAAAATAATGAAGGTCTAAGTTGTACAACATGATGAAGACCTAGAGACAAATCTCATGCCAACTTGTTTGTGGACAACTCAAAACTTTCACACTGGAAGAAAACTGATTCACACTGAAAAACCCACACGAGCCTCTACATCATAAGACTCAGGCCAGAGCCTGTGTCTGGGGTACTCCCACAATGCACCTTTAATATTTTAATTTCAATGCAGTTATGGGATGCAAAATGCTAACATCCCTATAGAAATGTGTTTCTGCTAGTAAGATCAGCTGTCCTGGTGAAGCTCTGGGGGCAGACATTGCTGGCTTACAGAACTCCCCAGAGAGCTGCCTGGAGTCTGCCCCGCAGCATTACCTTCACACCACCACCACTCAAGAGCCCTGCACCTCCTTGTGCAGAACCACAGAACAGAACTCACGTTCTACAGGGGCCTAACAGTTACTTACAGGTAAGAACCTAGTTATCTGAAACCAAGAAAAACACTGACTTACATCTAAGAGCGACAAAAACATCCCCAGGAATGATTACATGAAGAAGTAAAAGGGTGGCTGTGGCAGTACAGCCCCCAGGGAAGTAGAAGATTAGTAGTTCACGGTGAGCCTCAGATACACAAATGCAGTGATACAAGTGCTTGCCTACCATGCCACAAAAACTACGACCCAAGGATAAATAAAATCGAAAGACACTGCACGTTTATAAATTATGACCATCAATATATTATTAAAGGTCCACTGTAGCCAGAGTAGCATACACCTGTAAAGCCAGTACTTGGGAAACAGGCTGAACATGAGTTTAGAGTCAATCTTGGCTACAAAGGGAGACCCTGCTGCAAAACCTCACCAAATCTATACTACTTAAAACAGTCTGAGAGCAGGAGGAAGTAGAGGAGAGGGGGTCTGAAAAATGGAGTACTGGACATTACTTTATACCGAATGTTTTTTTTTTACCATTAACAACAGTCTGAGATGTTTAACTTAAACAATTCATACATAGCATGAAAACATAACGTGGGAGCTAGGCACGGTGGCACACACCTACCATCCCAGCAATTGGGAGGTGGGGGCAAGAACATCAGGAGTTGAAGGCAAGCCTTGGTTATGTAAGAAGTTTGAGAACAACTTGGGCTACGAGAGACCCTATCTCACAACAACCAAAGTCACATGGCTTTTTTACTCCCATAAAGCATAATTTCTATGTGAGATATATATGTTTAGAGTCACATTACGCAGGGGGAACCGTCAAACAGAACTGCTGGCGTGTGTGCGGCTCGGTCTTGTCCCACCTTGTCTCTCTCCTTCTCCTTCAACTTGTCCATGGACCGCTTCAGTCCTTCTCCCAGCAGGTCCACAAGGCGCACTGTTTCACCCGAGCGGGTTTTAAACTTCTTCCTGAAAGACATTTAAAGCCCCATACAAAAATTCAATTAGACTCTTCAATGCAGGTTTGAGGGATCTAGCCACAGATGGCACTATGTGCCAAGGTAACAGGGCCATATTCCAGTTGGCTACCAGGAATGAGCACCAAAGAAAGAGTGCTTTCCAGTGTCTCGACTCAGAGCATCCTGTGTTTTTTTTTTTTTTTTTAAAGCCCCTAAGAGTTCCCTAAGGAACTCTATCCTTACTACATTTTAATAGTGAAATGGAAAAAAAAAAATGCATCTACGGGGCTGGAGAGATGGCTTACACTGACAAGCACTGGCTACTCTTCCAGCGTTCAGTTCCCAGCACTCATATTGGGTAGCACACAACTACCTGTAGCTCCAGCTCCAGGAGAATAGGATATCTATTCTAGACTTTGCAGGTACCTGCACATACAAAATAAAGTCTAACCAGCTCACTTTCCTGGAATCCAGGATGCTGCTTAAATGTTTTGTCCTTTCAGAAAAATAACTAAAACAAAAAAACCACCACACTTGCTTCTATACTGGACTAACATAATAAAATACTACCTGACACAAAGAAAGCCAGCCACATTAAAAAGAGAGCCATTTTGTGCCTTTGAGTTGGTAAATACTGAAATATAAAGACCCATTCTATTTACCCTTTGTCTCAAAGACAGAACACAACAGAGGGAAATGATGGGGAAACAGAAAAAAGTGAAAGTATGGACATCATTATAACTTAAATTTGATAAGCTTCATATTTTGTACAAAAATAAATAATCTTAAATTCAACTGGAATCTCAACGACTCACTTTTTCAAGTTTATAACTAAAGGTAAATTCACCAATGGCTTTGACTACACTGCCAAGCATCCTTTGTGAAACGGGCAGTCTAGATGGGGAAATGTGATGACAGTCTAGTTTCTTTCAACATCACACACTTGTCCTTAAGAGGCTACATCCCCTGAGGGGCTGGCTACACCACGGGGGCAAGTGGCCTAGCTGAGTTCACACACAGTATACTAGACTATACTAATTTCTCAGTGCTACTGTAGCACTGAGTAACATGAAGCCTTGTCTGAAGCTGGGGACCAGGGTCGTCATCAACTGCTTCTGCCTGGTCCACTTACTTGTCTTCTCCTAGCACCACACCAAATCCAACATGGCTCACTTGAGTTACTTTAGGGTCATACCAACCAATCATTTGAGCAGCAGCAAAAACTGTCTGGAAATGTACAGCCTGAGAAGAGCAGAAACACAACAGAACTTGTTAGTTTTCTATACTGATTAAAAAGACAACTCTTCTGGGCTCAGTGATCACATGACAACCCTGTTATGTAATCATTATTATAAAGTTCTTCTATTCCCCAGATGTGATCATCAAGAGCAATGACACTTTTTCCACTCAGGTCTTAAAAGAGGCCAGGCACATCAATACATGCCTGTCATCTCAGTGCCTCAGAATCAGGAGTTCAAGGTCCTACTCAACTATGTAGCCGGTGTGGAGACCATGTCTCATAAGACAAATCAAACTGTCTGAAGAGCAATGGAGGGACACAGCACTTGCCTACTATAGGACAAACACAGGCTCTGATCCTCACCAGAGCAAAAGTAACTAAGGACAAATTCACAAAAAGCTTTTCTAGCAAATCTTAGTTTTCATCCAGAAAGGTGGGATTTTCAAGTCTGAGGTCAAATAGGCTACCTGGGACCTTATCCCACAACAAAAGTCAAATGGCTTTTATATTTCCACGAAGTACAATTTCTATGTGTCTATATGTTTAAATTAATTTAAATAAAAGCAGAGCCACAAGGCCACATTCACAAAGGGGAAACCTTCAACTTTTTGTAATAACCCAAGCCAGGATATTACACAGAAGGATCTGTTTGCCACACCACCATCACAGGGAGAGGAACAACTTCCTTTTTTCCCTCTGTAGCCCTGGCTGTCCTCGAATTTGCAGATCCATCTGCCTCTGCTTCCCCAGGTTAGGAATAATCTATACATTCAGAAAGTAGCTAAAAAGCTGGGTCCAACCATGTTCTTTCTCCAAAGATGGCAAGTGTTCTGAATAATTAAGTTTGTAGTGAATTTTTTTAAATCTTTAAGTGCCAAATGCAATTAGCCCCTAGACAAATCCCACTTACTTGTCCATTGTCCACCACGTAGATAATCTTATTTGCTTTTTCCTCAAATAGTCTCTGTTTGATAGCAGCCAGGTCAGACGTATCATAAGTAAAGCCCCCATCGGATTTCACTATGGTTAATGGTATGGAACACCCAGGAACGAACACAATTTTCCTGCCATCATCCACTTGCACAAATCCTAGAAATAAAGGAAAACAAAACCAAAAACAAAACAAAAAACACACAAAAACCTTCATTAACAAAGCTAAAAGAGCCCTCCTGGACCCAGAATCCTAGTTTATTCTAGGACCACATAAATACTTGGCCATTCTATGAACATTTTGTTTTTTAAAAATTGAGCTTATATATTTTTGTGTGTGAGAGTGTGGTCCATGTACCACAGTGTGAATGTGGATGTCAGAAGACCCCTTTTGGGAACTGGTACTTTCTTCCCACCATGTGGGTCTCGGGGACTGAACTCAGGATATCAGGCTTGGCAGCAACTCCCTCTACCTGCAGAGCCTTCTCACCAGCCCTCTGAGTATTTTAAGATTATTCCACATGATCAACGGCCAAGACTGATTTCAGGGCACGGTCAAATATAATGCTCTGCACTCGCACACATCTGGTCAAACTCTGATCCAACACACAGCAGACAAAATATGAACATATGTGCTGTGCTCTCAGACCCAAGAAGAGGAACATTCTAACAGCTCTATTTGAATTTTGTGTCACCCATAATATTAAATCCCAAATTTAATGTTTATAGTTGCTACAGTCACTATACAGTTTATGCTACAGTACTAACTTACAGTTTAGGAAACAGATTCACAGGTAGGGGTTAAAACTACAGCATGTGAAGGAAGACTGTGCGTGAATCTCAGGTTCATTGTTTATGGACCCTGACTTCTCCTGTGCTGATCAGGGCTGGGAAAGGAGCTACCAGGAGTATGCACTTGACAGCATATGTAAGACCCCGTGTTCAATCTGCAGCTCCACAACGCCAACAAACCCCCATGGACATTGTTTCATTATCTTCAAAGTATGGCTCCTAGACTCCATTTCCACATTCAAGAACCAGGCTTCAGGGCTGAAGGATGGCTCAGTGGTTAAGAACACTTGCTGTGATGTAGAGATCCACAGCTAAGCACTGGGCTGAGCTCTGGAAGTCCAGTTGAAGAGAGAGAAGGGATTATATAAGCAAGTGGGTGGGTGGGTGGGTATGTGTGTGAAGATCATGATGGAGAAACCCACAGAGACAGCTGACCCAAAAAACTCGTGAGAGCTCATGGATATTAGACCTCTAGGGAGCCTGCATGGGACCAACCTAGGCCCTCTACATGTGACAGTTGTGTAGCTTGGTCTGTTTGCAGGGCCCCTAGCAGTGGGATCAGGATCTGTCCCTGGTGCATGAGCTGGCTTTTTGGAACCTACTCCCTATGGTGGGATGCCTCTCACTCAGCCTTGATGCAGCAGGGAGGAGCTTGGTCCTGCCTCAACTTGATATGCCATGCTTTATTGGCTCCCATGGGAGGCCTTACCTTTTCTGAGGAGTGGATAGAGGGGAGGGGTAGAAAGGAGGTAGAGGGAGGGAACAGGAGGAGAGGAGGGAGGAGAAACTGTGTTTGGTATGTAAAATAAATAGAAAAAAATTAAAAAAAAAATACTTGCTCCTCTTACAGAAGACTGACCTGGGTTAGGTTCCCAACAGTCACATGACAGACAACTCATAACCAACTGTAACTCCAGTTCCAGGGAATCTGATGCCCTCTTCTGGCCTCCAGGAGCATGCACATGGTGCATTTTCTTTCTCACTCACACATGCAGGCAAGCACTTATACACACATAAAGATATATATACATCTATTTTGTTTATCAAGACAGCGTTTTTCTGTGTAGCCCTGGATGTCCTGGAACTCAGAGAGATCTGCCTGCCTCCCAAGTGATGGGATTAAAGGCATGCACCACTATGCCCAACAAGATATATAAATCTTTATAAAAAAGACGATCATGAACCACTGTGGATTTGAGACTGACTGGAGTAAGCAGTGAAACTGTGTCACAAAAACCCTAAAATTATTGGGCAAATTTTTGCACAAAATCCCAGTTAAAAAATAGAGAGGGAATGATAGTATACTACCAAAGCTAGTCATTAACATCTATTGAAACTATAGGGCAAAATGTGATAGAGAAATTTATAGTTGAATCAGGCTGAATCAGTCTTAGTACCTAAACCCACTAACCAATCATAATCTCACAAAAAGACAACCAGACATTGCTTGTATTCTTGAAGATCAAAGCAACCCGGATTGAATGAATCCTCTTTAAAACATACAGGCAGATGCCAGGTGCCTATGCCTTGAGAGGCAGAGGGAAGAGGATCTGAGTTCAAGGCCAGCCTGATCTACTGAGCAAGTTCCAGGACAGCCAGAATGGTTACAAAGAAACCCTGTCTGAAAAAAGCAAAAACAGACAGAGCCAGGTATTGTGGCTCATGCATTTAGGAAGCTGAGGCAAGAGAATCGTAAGTTTGAGGTCAGCCTGGGGTACGAAGTGAGACTGTTCCACCAATAGGATGAATTCTATGAGCCTGCTTTAACAACAAAAGAAAAATATCCAGACACGGTAGAGCAATGCCTGTAATTCCAGTACTTCGGAGGCAAAAAGGGAAGAGTACTACAAATTTGAGTCCAGCATGGTCTATAGAGCAAGTTCCAGGCTAGCCAGGGTTCCCTTTTTGTTTTGTTTTATTTTGTTTTTGAGACAGGGGTTTCTCTATGTAGTTTTGGTGCCTGTCCTGGATCTTCTTCTGTAGCCCAGGCTGGCCTTGAACTCACAGAGATCCGCCTGGCTCTGCCTCCCAAGTGCTGGGATTAAAGGCGTGCGCCACCACCGCCCCAGGCTAGCCAGGGTTCCTTCCTTACAGAGCAAGAAAAAAAGTACACATGAAAAGGAGGGCTATTATGTATTAACAGACCACAAATAAATATTGAGACTCCAGGAAGAAAACAAACAAACAAACCAAAACAACCCTATGATTAAAAACTATGAAGTCTGACATAGTTCAAACACACATTTGAGAAGCTGAGGCTGGAGGACTGTGAGTTCCAAGCCAGCTTGTGGATTCAGAGAGACCCTGTATTCAAATGAACAAATGATGGAATTAAAATAAATCCCACTGGAAAATCTAGATTTTCTACTGAACGGCATTTAGACATTATCGTTGGAGCTGATAGCAGCAGAGTGCTTGCCTAGCATGTACAAGGTACAAGTCCTAGGGTTAATCAAATTGGGGGTGGGAAATTATTACCAAAAGCAGGAGACAATTTAAGAGTTCAAGGTCACTGTAGTCTACATATTTAATTCCAAGTCAGCCAGGGCTACATAGCAAGACCCTGCCTCTATCACACACACAAAAAGAAATTAAGGCATTATTTCCTTGGTGAAATAATAGGAGTAAGCACAAAGCATATGTTCTTTCAGGGACAGAGTGGTAGATGAAATTATGTAAACGTGTATGGATAGAATAAGGTATACCCTATATTTAACATTTGTAACTGTTGAAGTTCTGTGATGAGCTTATGGTCTTTTCAGTAACTATAAATTTCATTCTGTTTTTGTCTGTTTGCAAGTTTCAGTAATAATAAAACAAGTTTAAAGAATGTAATACTGGGGGCTGGAGAATTAGCTCAGCAGTTAGGAGCGCTTGTTCTTACAAAGAACCCAGCTTCAATCCCCAGCACCCACAGTGGCTAGCAACCAGCTGAAACTCCAGTCCTAAAATTTAAAAGAATGTAATGCTCACCTTTATCTTCAAATTCCTTTACAATATCCTTCATCCTATCTTGATAGAAGGATTCTCCTCTCTCTATTAAAGTGATGTCCAATGCATTGTAGATTTTACTAAATTCTAGAAAATACCAAATATAGTAAACAAATAAACAATTTAAGCAAAAGGGGAAAAACACAACATTTAGAAAACTTGTTATCTATAACACACAAAAAAGAAATTCATTACATTGGCTATGTACAATACAGAACAACACATGTGCTGCCATTTGAGAAGAGAATATGATACCATACCTAAGAAAACACCGGGCCTTAGGATATAGTTCAGTGGCATAGTACATGCTTAGCCAGCATGAGACCCTGGGTTTAATATGTAGCAGACCCTCACCTGCCTCCCAAAACATCACTATTTTTTTTTTTTTTTTTTTTTTTGCCTACCTATAAGAAAAACCACCTTCCAAAACTCTGCAGTGAAGGTTACAGGTGCAGCATTTATGTGGCCTGCTTCACTCTTCAGCACCAAATAAAGTAGGCATGCATTCCATGGAAGACTGACACTGGATTTTGATCCTTGGAACCCATGTAAAAACCTGGATGTCCAGGCTGAGATGGCTCAGCAACTAAGAACATATACTGCTCTTGTAGAGGACCTGAGTTCAGTTCCCAACAGCCTTTCAGGAGACGCACAATGACCTGTAACCCCAGTTCCAAGGGATCCAACATCCTTCTCTGGTCATTACAGACACCAACACTAATGTGCACAAACATAGATAATTTAAAATAAATCATATGCTGGAAATGGTGGCACATGCTTTTAATCCCAGCACTCTGGAGGCAGAAGAAGGTGGATCTCTTGTTTGAGGCCAGTCTGGTGTACACAGTAAATTCCTGGATGTGGTGGTGTGTATCTGTAATCCCAGTGTGCTACAATGAGACGGATTTGTTTTTTTGTTTAAGATTTATTTATTTATTATGTATACAGCATGTATCCCTGAAGGCCAGAAGAGGGCACCAAATCTCATTACAGATGATTGTGAGCCACCATGTGGTTGCTGGGAATTGAACTCAGGACCTCTGGAAGAGCAGTCAGTGCTCGTAACCTCTGAGCCATCTCTCCAGCCGTTTGTTTTTGGAGACAAGGTTTCTCTGTGTAATGGCCCTGGCTGTCCTGGGACTGACTTTATAGAACAAAGTGCTGGGATTAAAGGCATGAACCACCACCGCCTGGCTCACTATGATGAGATGGGGTAATTGCATGAAGCACAGCAGACAGAAACAATAGAGCTCCTGCCCCAGTAAGGTACAAGGAGAAGACTCCCTGAGTTGCCCCTGTCCGCTCATCTCCATGTGGGCTGTGTGCAAAAGCACACACCTGAATTCACACAATCATTCAGAAAAAGTATATGGGAGGTCTGAAGAAACAGGCAAACAAACACCCCAGTTACAAAAACCTAGACTCAATCCTGAGTCAAAACTCAAGCTAGCTAATGGCCCCTAGAGACTCACCTTCCCGGGAGACGTCACAGATGAGATTCCAGGCCTTTATGAAATCTGGGTCCTTACTCTGCAGTGCAACGACACACTGATAGGCTCGCTTCTTAAATTCCTCCTCAGTATCAAACCTCTTCTTAGATTCCTGTTTTTAAAAGATGAAGAATGTACTCATTTCTGTACATATGCACACACCACAGGAAGTGGACAACAGAGAATACAGCGCTCTACAAAGTCAAGAAGATGGGGTCCTAAAAACAAACACAAAGCCAAAACCAACCAGAGTAGCCAGGTGTGGCGGTACACCTTTTAATCCTAGCACTAAGGGGGCAGGGGCAGGTGGACCTCTATAATACCCTGTATAATATAATATAATTCCAGTAATATCCTGTCTCTAAAACAAAAAACCCAACCCAACCAACAGAAAGCACCCCTCCCCCAAAAAGAGTTCAGGAGTCAGACACAGCTGAACCGGGCAGAGAGCTCAGAGGGTAAATGCCCATCCTGCACTCGAGAACTAACGTTCCATCTCCAGAAGCAAAGTACAGCTGTGCAGTCTGGACAGCACCTATAATCGAGAATTCTGGCGGGGGGGGGGGGGGGGGGGGGGGGGGGGGGGGGGGAGTGTGTTGGGAAGCTGGCCAGCTAGACCAGATAGAACTCAAGAGACTCTATCTCAATAAATAGCGATCAAGATACCAGATGTTAACGTAAGCCCACACACTCAAGTGTGCATGACAGACATGACAAATAGCCCAGTTTTTTTTTTTTTAAATGAAATTATTTTTTCTTAAAGATACAAAACTGAGCTGAGCATGTGGCTTCTGCTTGTAACCCTAACATTCTGGAGGCAGTCAGAATACCAAGTTTACAGGCCAGCCTAGTCTACAAACTGTCTCAAGATCAAAACCGGGCTGGAGGGCTGGAGAGATGATGGCTCAGAGGTTAAGAGCACCGACTGCTCTTCCAGAGGTCCTGAGTTCAATTCCCAGCACCCACATGGTGGCTCACAACCATCTGTAATGAGATCTGGTGCCCTCTTCTGGTGTTCAGGTACATGCAAGCAAGCAGAACACTGTGTATAGATAATAAATAAATAAATCTTTAAAAAAAAAAGATCAAACCCACAAAACCCTTCAGTGTTCCATTTCTATTCTGGTAGCACATGCTTTCAGGGAATGCTTCCTAGTGTTCCTTTGCAAATAACCCCTTTCAAGAACATCTTATGGGGCTCATAAGATAGTTCAGTTGGTGAAGGAGCTTGCTTTGCTGCTCAGTCTAAGTACATGAGTTCAATTCCTAGGATCCACATGGTAGAAGGAGAAAACTGACTCCCACAAGTTTTCTTCTGGCCTCAGTGGGTAACAGAAACATGTGTGCATTTCCCCCATTCTAGGCACACAAAAAACCAAACTTTAAGAAACACTGGAAAACTGATCCATTACCAAATCAGTAAATTTTAGCAATGTACTGCAAAATCACACATTAATTAGCAAATCTGTTTCATTATATCCAAGGCAATTCTAACATGATTAGTTATTTTCATAGTTTTCAAATTTTTACTAGAAAATAACAAAACTCAAGTGTTTGCTTTTTATCCAGTAGTCTAACTTGGTTCATTTTGAAAACATAAGACAGCTGCTTTCTGGCAAAGAGCCACAGAAAACTTACAGTGGGGAATAAAAACTGCAGTACCCAATCCCAGCAGAACTCTCATCAAAGTCGCCATGCCATTAAAACAGGGCTGGACCCACTATTACAGCTGAGGTTAACTTTGAACTCTAGATCCTCCTGCTCCTAGCTCCCCAGTGCTGAGATCGCAGGCATTTGCCCACCCCACTGCCCCACAGGTATATGATTGTCTTTTAAAAACTGCTCTGGCAAGATGGTAGGTCAAAGTACTTGGCTGCTGAGTCAGAGTTCAACCCCAGGACCCCAGGACCCACAGGGCAAGAACTGATTCTTGTCGGGTGTGCTTGGACCTCCACACATAGGCCTTGATGCACGACCGACCCCTAACATACAAGCATAATATTTTAAAAACCAAAACACCACCACCACTTGGTTTTAGCCAGGCGTGGTGGCTCATGTGTAAACCAAGCTCTTGAGAGGCTGAGACAGGAAAACTATACTATTGAGTTTTAGGGTGGCCAACGAGACAGTGAGTTGCAGGTTAGTCCAGGCTACAGAGACCACATTTCAGAAGGACCCATACAAAACAATACAAAACTCAAACTGTTCTTACCTGCTTACACTATAATGGATAGCAGGTAATGTGGTAGAATTCATTTTTTAAAAATAGTTACTTTAACTTTATGTGCACTGGTGTGAGGGTGTTGGATCCCTGGAACTGGAGTAACAGACAGTTGTTGAGCTGCCATATGGGTGCTGGGAATTGAACCCAGGTAATACTGGAAGAGTAGCCAGTGCTCTTACCTGCTGAGGCATCTCTCCAGCCTACTAATTTTTTTTTTTTTTTTTTTTTTTTTTTTGAGACAGGGTTTCTTTGTGTAGCTTTGGAGCCTTTCCTGGAACTCACTCTGTAGCCCAGGCTGGCCTCGAACTCACAGAAATCCTTTTGCCTCTGCCTCCCAAGTGCTGGGATTAAAGGTGTTCGCCATCACTGCCCAGCTCAACTTTTAACATACATCAATAAACAAAGCAAAGACATGTAAAGGGATGGGACACAGCTATTTCTATGACTAAACACAAAAGTAAATGGACACCAGGGTGGCTGTTTCCAAGTACACAATACAAGTATCTAGGAGTGAAAAAAGAATTCAGTGTTTCAAGTAAGTAAACTTTGTGAATCAGCTTCTGTTCTCACTCAGTGCAACGCAGCATTACCAAGGTAGTCACTGTATGTGGAAAACTATGATTGGTAAGCATCTTTCTTTTCTCTTAAAGATTTCAATATGTATGTTCCTGTGTGTGGGCTGTGCACCTGAGTGCAGTACCCCTGGAAGCCAGAATGAGGCATCAGATCCCTACAGCTAGAGTTAGAGAAGCAGTACTGAGCCACCCTGTGGGTGCTGGAACAGATCTCAGGTCCTCGGGAAGAGTAATACATGCTTAAACCACTGACCATCTCTCCAGTTTTCATGTTATTCTTTTTCAGTACACAGTTACTTCAACTATGGTTTTGAACTTCCTTTGGGAAAGGTTAGCAGAAATACAATTACACAACAATCGTGCCAAACCTTATAAAAGGCCTGAAGATCTCCAATAGGAGGTGAAACTGTCAGATAATCTGGAAATTGATCTTGCAAGTGAGCGATGAGCATGCCAAACTGGGTCCCCCAATCTCCTACATGGTTTAACCTGATAACAATCAGAGAACAAGAATTTAAAAAAAGCTGTAGAGATTCAATGAAAAGTACACTCCATTAGAAGCCATTAACATCTAAGAGTCAACATGCCACTCTAACAACAGCTGCTTCCTCAGTGGGACTGCCAACTGCCAAGGTCAAGTCTGGGGCTCTTTCATTCAACTCTGTGTAACTAGAAACAGCCGATGAGGGCGAGTTACCGAATGAATACATTTCTCATTAATGGGCTATAAACTGCATATTATGTGGCTAACTAGGAACACTATAGCTGAGCCAATGTTAGTCATCGCCATTAAGCCTGAAGACCTGATCTCCATCCCTGGAAGGAGACACCCAACCCCCTGAGTTGTTCTCTGACCTTTATCAGCCTCATTCACCCCCCAAAAAACATGTATGTAAGACAAGAGGAAGGAAGAAAATGTAACTTTCAATCAGTTACTGTAGGGAATAAATGGCTCCAAAATGCCAATGGGTAACACCCTTCCATCTCTGCCTGTAGACTAATCAACCACATGTTTTCTTTATTTATCTAGCTTCTTCACTACCACCAGAAGAAGCTTTCAGATCATATGGCTCCACTAGTTAAAATAAAATCCCAGTTTCATATCATGGCCTACAAAGCCCAACACAAACACTCTTGATTAGGCCTTTCTGACTACTAGAAGGTAAGTTCTTGTTATATCTGAGGCACTCAAGAAGCATCTGTGAAGGCTGGGGAGTACCCACTGCTCTTGCAGAGGACCTGGGCTTCGTTCCCAGTATGGCAGTTCACAGCTGCCTTTTTCTATAGTTCTAGGTAAATATAATGCCCTCTTCTGGCCTCTATGGAACTGCACGCACATGGCACACAAAAATGAATGAATGAATGAATGAATGAATAGGTAAATCTTTTGTTGTTTTCAAACAGGAAGTCTACAAAAAGGATAAAGTTCAGATATGGGGTAGGGACCAAGATATATTTTTATAAGATGAAGATTGATTTTTATTTATGTGTATGATATTGAGTCTGTGCACATGCAGACACCACCTGGATCCCCTGGAGTAGGAGTTACAGGAAGCTGTGAGCCACATGATGTGGGCGTTAGGAACTGAGCAAGAGCAGTAGGTGCTTTAACCCCTAAGCCATGTCCCCAGCCCCAGGACATATTTTTAAAAGATTACAAAACAGAACTGAGCTTTTGAACCTGGGTGTTGAAGATATTTCAAAAAACGAGGTGTCATTTTTAATAGACACCTTTAATTTCCAAGCAAAAGCAAGAGAACACACCTTAGCACATCGTATCCTGCAAATTCAAAGAGTCGGCTCATACTTTCTCCTATGATAGTTGACCTGAGGTGGCCAACGTGCATCTCTTTAGCTATGTTGGGAGAGGAAAAGTCAATTACAACCTAAAACAGAAAAAGAGTTTTAAAAGGGGGCATAAATATTATCATGCTATCATATAAAAATAAGTCTTAAATAATAGTCTAGATTCTAATTCATGCATTAGATTTTCTTATGGCTCTTAATTGCATATTAATTGATAAAGAATCAAATTAATTTATACAAATTACTATTCAAGAATACTATTCAGCAATAGTTGCATTAGTACCAGTTATAAATCTGAAATGCCTATGGAATGAGTTTAAAAAATTATAAAACACACCAGAAATCTACTTCCCAGTTACACTCATGATCTCAATATAAAGTGAAGGTCACCCCCAATAAGGGCATTTGCCATGCAAGCCTAAAATACTAAAGCATTAGCACACATACCTTTTTATTCTCTCCAAGAGTGGGTAGTTGGACTCCATTTACTAGGAGATTAGTCAACTGTTCTGACACAAAGTCCTTTCTCAAGTGAACATTAATGAAACCTAAGAGTAGTAAAAAATGATCAGTCTCCAGCTCACTTATGCTGGCTCCAGAAGTGTGAGAGAGCTGAGGTAAAACTCCTCAGGAGTCTAACAGCAATCAAGACAACTACTCAAGCCCTTCTGCAAATACCTGCCTCAGCATCTATTTCAAATTGTCACACACCACCCCCCACCAAAAGCTGCTGTGTATTACTCCAGCCCATCCACTTTGGTTGGCTCATCTTAGAAAACAGAAGGCCGTTTTATTGCAGGCTTAGTTAACCACATTACCAAGCCCTTTTGCTGATGAAAACCTGATCGGTGAAAGGCAAAGTAAACCATTCGAGGACAGGTCACCAAAATGGTAGCTCTTAATTAATAATGCAGGTTATTTTTAACACTTGGATGATGACATATTAAATGTTTGGGCCGCCCTGTACATATCATGCTGCCTCCTGAGTAGATGGGATCACAGGCATGTGCCACCATGCAAGGCAACTTTTTTTAAAATTAATTTTGGTGGCCCCACTAGGATATGGCCAGAGACCTTGTTGTTATACATGTTAGGAAAGCACTTTACCACTGAGTTAGTCACACCCCAAGATCCAGCACTGAAGCTTTAAACCTTTTTAAGTCTCAGAAAGCACTCATCATCAATGCAGTATTAAGAAAGCTAGCATATCATACCAGGACCCGCAATTTCAACCTTGTCAATATATTCATTGCTCGGCAGGTGTTTGGTGATGTTTTCTGCAATTTCTCTAGGATTAACCTTCTGTTCCTTTGCTTTGAGCATCTACAACACAATGTCAAACAATTCATTAGCACCAGGTAGCAAGTTCCTAGGGAATGTGTCACTGACAAAGCATGAGCTACATTTGTACTACACTCATCAAGAAGTAGATGCAGAGCTCAACCACCAGTGAATGGATAAACCAGAGCATCACCAGTGCCAAGAGGAACCAAAACATGCCCAAACCACACATCCATACTTCACGCCTGCCCCCTCAATACACAACAAAGCTTACAGCTACAAAGCCCGAGCCAGCACATCCACATTCTTAATTCTAAGTCATGAAACTGTCTACTATTCATAAGCAGCACTCTTGGGCTGAGTGGTTGTGACTCCCTGGGTTGGAAGCCCAGCACCAAAAAAAACCCAAAAAACAAAAAACAAAAAAACCACCAGGTGGTGGTGGTGCACACCTTTAATCCCAGCACTTGGGAGGTGGAGGCGGGTAGATCTCTGAGTCCCAGGACAGGCTCCAAAGCTATACAGAGAAACCCTGTCTCAAAAAACCAAGAGAGAAGAAGGAGAAAGAGGAGAAGAAAAACCAGTGAAAAGCTCCCAGGAGCATTAGAGAACAAAGTCCGCTCAAGAGCAAACCCTTCCGGATCAACAGAGAAAGTGAAGGAAACAGATACAGGTCACGCAGTCAGAGAATGCAGCTACTGCAAACAAGAACTCCTCAGCTTAGAAAGGAACCCTGGCTGTCTGAGCGGCACACGCCAGAAATCCCAGTACCTGAGGGCTGAGGCAAGAGACCTGGTTACAAAGTGACCACATCTCAAGAAACCAAAATAGAAAAGGAAAAACAGACTACAAAGTCTGCTTCAAAAACATCCTAGTTGTAACAAGTAATTGATGGTGGTGATCTTCAGGTACCTTAAAAAAAAAAAAAGAAAAGAGAGAGAGAGAGACAGGGTCATTGTGCACCCCAGGCTGCCCTTTATTTGTGGCAATTCTCCTGCCCCAGCCCCTGGAGTGCTGAGATCACAGGCATAGGTCACCATGAATGGCAATAATTTGTTAACTTTTAATTTCACTTTCTAAATGCCTTTAACCACACCCACCAATCCAGAACACAGCAAGAAGTAGCAGACAAAACAATACAAGTACTGCTCTCACTGAGCTCCACCCTAGGCCCATGTGGAAAGGGTACCCTTTCTTGAAGATACAAGAATTGATGCCAGGCGGTGGTGGCGCATGCCTTTAACCCCAGCACTTGGGAGGCAGAGGCAGGCGGATCTCTGTGAGTTCGAGGGCAGCCTGGTCTACAGAGTGAGGTCCAGGACAGGTACCAAAACTACACAGAGAAACCCTGTCTCAGAAAACCAAAAAAGAATTTACTGTCATTTATGCTCATAGGAGTGATGATATGTAAGAGAATCAAGTCAGCCCGGGCCAGGCAAACAAATGATACATCACCTGAGAAATACCCATGGCACTATTACATTGATAGTCTCCAAACTTGGGCTGCTGACTTGGAGTTACGACCAGAGGAGGGCTGTCCAGGTCTGGATATGCAGCCTTAATGGCACAGCCAAAGACATCCTGCAGGCGGCTATTGATGTTAATCATATTTTTGGTTGGTCGTCTTCTCTTTTCTGCCTGAAGACTCTGCAGGGAAAGAACAGCAGTATCTTAATAAAGTAGTATAAAATCATACAAAACTCCAACTCTGCTGAGAAAAGCCAGGATAGGAATACTCAGACCCACACAGGGTTCTAAGACATTCTCGGGAACCATTGAGGGCGTCTATTCTGTAGTTACCTTCACGGAACACAAACAGTAAAAAGTAGTGACTGAAAAGAACACAAGTGAAGTCCAGCACCCAGGGGGCAGAGACAGGCAGATCTCTGTGAGTTCAAGGTAAACCTGGTCTACACAGTGAGTTCCAGGACAGCCAGGGCTCTGCAGAGAGACTCCTGTCTTTTTTAAGACAAAGAAAACAGAAGTGAGTCAGTCCTAAGCTGCCTACCCAAGCCCTGGCAGTGAGCACTAGACAAAACAATTGCCAGGTCCTCTCCAGAACGACCTTTTCTGGACAGGAGAGGACCAGAGTGACAGTGCCAGATCATTAAGACAGGCTTTGCCTCACTATAAATAACCCCTGGCTCACCTACTCATTATTTCAACAGCTTTTAAGTGGAGCACAGTCTTTAAGACAGAATATAATTACCCCTATCATCACTCATTACACCTTCACAAAATCGTCTCCACCATCAGACTGCTGAATGCAGGAAAGCATTTCATCCACAGTGCTATCCGATGTGCCTGGCGTCACACCTGCCATAAGATGGTATCAAAACAGGTCACAGAAGAGACTCCAGAAGGTAAGAGGAAGATTGATCTACATACATATCAAGCACCAGGCCAACTAGGGCTACACAACTAGGGCTACACCTCATCTCAAAGAAGGGAAAAGGATGTGACCTGTCTGTCAACAGAGCACTGGCCTAGCAGAGGTCCTCTTGATAGGAGTGAGTAAACACATGCTTTCTGTGGAGCATAATGAAAACACTTCCTTTACCACTGAGCCACCCACAGGCCAACTATATCACTAACTTAACAGTAATCAAAAAGAATCAAAGCCAGGCCCAGAAGCTCACCCCTAAAACCCCAGCAGTTAGGAGGTTGAGATAGGAACAGACAGCTTGGGCTACGCAGTAATAACCTGTTTCAAAATGACAACAAACTGAAAGACCACCAGTTTAAATATGAATGCAAGAGCAGCTAAATAAAACGGACGTAGTGTTCAAGTCTGTACTAAGTGTTGTGTATGCATGCTTTTTTACTTTGTTCTACGTAACAAAATGGAACTGTTACCACCATCATTACCTTCACGTGGGTCAGTGATTGACAGATTACAAACAAGGTGGACAGGAACGTAGCCGTCAAGTCCTACCCTCCTCCTCACTGCTACAAAATGAAAACTTTCAGACACAAACTATCTTCTCTTTTATTGGAGGCAGGGTCACTTTGTAGCCCAGGCTGGCTTGAAACTTTCAACAATCTTCTTCCTTCAGTCTACCAGGTTATATTTTTTCTTTCTTTCTTTCTTCATCCCCCCTCCCTACCCCACCAGACAGTTTCTCTATGTAGCTCTGGTTGTCCAGAACTCTTTATAGGCCAGGCTGTCCTTGAACTCAGAGATCTGCCTGTCTCCTTCTCCACAGTGATAGGATTAAAGCCATGTAAAACCACGCCCAGCAAAATCATTCTTTTGATGAGCTGGGAGTTGGTATATTTGAACCAGCACTTGGGAGGCAGAGTTCCAGAACAGCCAGGGCTAGACTACATAGAAATTTTGCTAAAATGTTAGGTCAAATACTGAAAAGGGCAAGGAATGGCTATTAAGGGGGCTCACAATAGCCTGAGATAAAGTGTAATTGGGTTCTGGACCTGTAACAGTCCAACCTCTTCCCAAAGTTCCGATCGGTCAATTAGCCTTGCGGAAGGCTCAATGTAAGGTATGGTTCTTTCTGGGAACATCTGTTCAACGGTATAATTCCGTCCATGTTTATGAAAAGATTGCTATGATACAGAGGCAAAACAACTTTGTAAAAATAAAGCCTGTTCTTTGGTTGAAATTTACCATACCAGAAAATTAAACATTAACTCAGGAAACAAATAAACAAGTTGGTTTAAGTTTTTTTTTCTTTTCTTTCTTCTTTTCTCCTCTTTGGTTTGTTGTAACAGAGTCTCCAGCTGCTGAAGCTGGCCTAGAAATCCTGATTCTCCAACCTCCACCTCCAAAGTGCTGGGGATACAGGCATCAGCTCCCAAACTAGATCAATCTTAAGTTTTTAGTTTATCAATTTCTTACTCATGCTTTTCACAATCTGAAGATTTTCTTTTGGGGGGTAGTGTGTGTGGGGGAGGGGTCGATTTTGAAACAGTTTCTCTGTGTAGCCCTGGCTGCCCTGGGATCTGTAGACCAGGCTGGCCTCTGCCTCAGAGTGCTGGAATTAAAGGCATGTGTAACCACTGCCCAGCTCAATCTAAAAATTTCCAATAGAAAATGTCATTTATGTATAGTCATAGGTCCCCAAAATCAGTAATATGTTTTAACTTTTTTGTAAACTGGAAAGATATTGGTATGTATCTTTTGTAATTAACTTGTACACATACACACAAAATCCACTGTACTTGATTTCATCCAAATTAACATGTGCATATAATTAATTTAACTCTTTCACTTTCTCTTCCCCCATCCTCCTGCCTCCACTAGCAAGTGCTGGAATTATAGGCACCACACCCTGTTTTATCTGGTGCTGGGGACTGAATCCAGGACCTCAAATGTGCTAGGCTAGTGAGCTTGCCAGTCCTTTTTCGACTGAGGCAGGATCTTGTTCTGTAGCCCAAGCTGGTCTTGAACTCACAGCAATACTCCTGCCCCTGCTTTTCAGGAGCTAGGATCACAGAGGGGAGCCAGCACATCAGGTTCCTAACTTCCCAGCTGGCCATGGTGCCACAGTCCTTGAATTGCAGCCTTGCGAGGCTGGAAGGAGGACTGGCACGTGTCCGAGGGAAATGGGCTATACACCACACACTAGGACAGCCAGGGCTAGAAGGCCAAGACTCTGACTCAGAACCAAAAGAAATACACGTCTTGGTACAATCACCTTTACTGTAACTTGACTGTATGCATTTTGTAAGAACAACAGCTCTGAGGAAATGAAGATTAGAGGATTCTCTAATAGCAGCACTATCATGATGGCAATCTTAAAATCGCCAGTGTGAAAAGCTTTCTGTGAACACCTAATTAACTAAGTAGCCAGACTCTGGAGGTGGAGGCAGAGGCAGGTGGATCCATGTGAAACCAGCTTGGTCCACACAGTGAGCTCCAAAAAGGTCAGGGCTACATAGAGACCCTATCTCAAAAAAATAGGCAGTTTAATGAAAAGAAATAAAGGAAAACTGAGGCTACAATGTTCATGAGAACATGGGTAAAATACCTTGCAGCCAGGACATCTGGTATGTGCTTTCAAGTTGGAGTATGTGGCCCAAAAAGAGGGAACAGGCAGGATTAATGGCCATTGTACACAATACTTTCTTTTTTTAAGAAAGGGTTTCTCTATGTATCCCTGGTTGTCCTGAGACTCGCTCTGTAGACCAGGCTTTCCTCGACCTCCAGAATGCTGGGATTAGAGGCACCACCACCATGGTGCTCTTCTTAGTCTCTCTGTGTTATCTTCCTTACTGCCTTCAGCAGACATAAGCATTTAGAAACACATCGGAAATAGCGCACACCTTTAGTCCCAGCACTTGGGAGGCAGAAGCGGCAGATCTCAGTGAGTTCGAGGCTAGCCAGGTCTACAAAGAGAGTTCCAGGGCAGCCAGGACTGTTACACAGAGAAACCCTGTCTTGAAAAACCAACACACACACACACCCCTACCTGAATTTTAAAAAAGCAAATATAACAGAGAATTGAGTATAGATAAATGCAGAACAAATGGTGTAACCAAAACCATGTTTCTTTTGTGAGGAGTCCATGAGAAAGGAATTCTGTGTTAGAAGATGTAAAGACAAAGTAATTTAAGCACAACAGATCCCAAATAGGTAATAAAACCTTCAAGGGAATGGGTCAGGCAGCCTAAGATGAGTAATGACTGTGCAACCCAAGGAGTAACACACACACACACACACACACAGAACAATTATGAGAATAGGTAATACTCTGGGATGTGCCATTAGCAAACTTCAAAGGCAGGCCAAAAAACTCAAGGTAAGCTCATTTATTTCTTTCTCCGACATTGATACCCGTTGCTGGACTACAGGGCCATTAAAATGGCGGCATGGTAGCACACACCTGTGAGCCCATCACTAGAGAGACAGAAGCAGAAAGACACTGAAGGATGGGGTAAGCCTGGAAGCCAGCCTGGGCTGTAGAGTGAGACACTAAGAAAGAAACCCAAGAGATGCTGTAAAATACAACAGAACTGTGAAATAATCAACTTCATAGCATAGAAGTTATGTGTGAGTGAGTATATTTTAAGACAACCACATTAGTTAGTTCCTAGGTTTCAGTACAAAAAACTAAATAAATGAAATATTTCTTTGGTAATGATTCATCAAAAAACATTTCTTTGAAAGCACGGGCATAACCTGTTGAAGAAATATCAACTCCCAAGACAGTCTTTAAACCAGCATGATGAACCACTTCAAAGGCTAGGACCTCAATTTTTCCACTGTGTGCTGAATGAGTCTTAACTTGCCTTATGCAGGAAAAAGATTTTTAAATATTAACTCCTCTTTTCGGTTTCTGTCGTGTATATTTTTAGAATCTTCAGTAACAAAAAAATGCATTAGAAGATACACAAGAGAGAGTACTCACCCTCTGAAGAATATTCAGTCTATACTTCAACTTTAAATTTTCTTCTCGTAACTGGTCCAAACTCGGAGACT